AGGCCACCTCATCTGTTGCATAAAAGTTAAGAGTCCCCAGCCCATCTGCTAAAAGGAAAGCCCTCCCAGGCACGTCGCAGGCCTTGCTTGCAGTGCCCTGTTACCCAGGGCAGACGAGTCCCCAGAAGGGACATTCTGGTTTCTGCTTGGCTCAGGACTTGTCTGTACGAGGAAACGTACACTTCAGCGTTGCAGAAAGCAAACTGACGGACCTGTCGTATGCAGCAGTTGCGGTTTTTTCCCTCTCAGTAAGTTAATTCTTCTATCTAGGACAGCAGATTAATTAATTGTCATAGGCACCTTTAGCACTGCAGACATCATGCACCAAAAGACGAGGGATCACCAAAGCAGTAACAATAAATAGAGGCATTAAAGAAATTTACCTTATTCTGTGCTGCCACTTTTTTTTTCCCTTTTTTTTTTTTTTTTAAACACTGTAACAGTGCCAACCAGAATCCCATATAAACGTACTTCTGGGATTCTGAATAAGGGACACGAGCCACCTCAGCCAGATCACCTACGAGCAAACACGTTTACCTTTAACTGTACCAGCTACTGATCAGACTGCACCTCTTGTGCTAGTAAAACTGATGGGAATTACCCCGCTGACTCCAAGAGGACCTGCATTAGAGTTCAAAAATCACTATACTCGCACAAAAGTGCAGGCAGGGCTCTGCCCTCCAGGGACTGTCGTGCTCCAGGCACTTGAACCACCCTGGACACCTTCTCAGCAGGACACAGGGTCCACTGTAGTCAGGAGGTGACGGTGCAGGAGGTGTGGTGCTCTGCCGCCACGGACAACAGCACAGCGCCTGCCCCAAGAAGGGTGTAATGGTTTCGAACAACAAACAGGACTAGTTTAACCACTGCCTAAGTTAAAAAGAAAATTATCAGAAGTAAAATCTTCTGCACCTCCACCAAGAAAAATACAGAGAAGAAATCAGCATCGTTCTTTAAGGAACTATATCTTAGGACACTTCCTTCATGAGTGTTTCAGGAAATCCATATTTAAAGGACTGTGATCAAAGCACAGAAACGGAGTTCACAACTACTCTGGGAAGGAAACAGCAGGATAATAATGGCAGTTACTATTTCCTGTATTAGAAAAATAAACATAGGTCTGAAATATAGCTTCAGTTTCAACAGAGATTATGGTCAAAATTGTTAAAAATCAGCAGCTGTATTTTAATGCAATAATTCAACGTAACAATTTAATTCAGAAAATATCCCCTCAAATTCTGATCGCAAACAATGACAGTATTTTCCTCTCCCTTGCCTCCCTCTACTCCGCACCTCGACGTGCACTACAAACTGAGACACCTTTTTTTAAAAAGGTTAAAAAAAGGCTAGAGAATGGGCACGAAATAAAAGCGAGCGTTGAAAAGCCATCGTCGACCGTTTTCTAAGCGTGAATCCATGGCGACGTGATCCCGACTGTCAGCACGCGTAGCAATCAAACCGCGTTATTCCCTTAATCGTTTCAGGTTACCTCAGAGGGAGGGAAGAAGTCCCACCATCTAGGAAGCATGGTGAGCAAACGAGGCTGTCAAGACAGAGACGGAGTTTGGAGGGAAGCAAGCACACCGGAGCGGGGTGGGCGAAGCACCCCTGACTCCACCGGCTCGGAGCAAAGGCATAACCTCACGGCACTCTTCTGGGCGCTCACGTGGACTCCCACGGGCTTTGTCGAGAGCTACAGCAGGATGTGTAGCTTAAGGCAGGGTCCCTGCATGTTTAGAAAGCTCTCTTCCTAGCTTCGTTGTTGCTCTCGCACTACAAAACTCAGGGTAAGACCATGCCACCAGCAGAGCAAGCCCACAGTCCTTCAGACAAGACAGCCTGCCCATCGCGTCTGGCTCCACGACCACAAGTCGCCCAGCGATGCTCTGCTTGCTCCCAGCACTCAGGCTCAATATCCAAGTCAAGCAGGGGTTCCTCTGCTCCAGAGCTAACTCTGGTTCCAGCCCAGGCACCGTTCCCAGGCTGACTGCTGCTCACTCACAGAATTCCTTCACCTGCCTCTGGGCTGCTTTCAAGCCAAGCCAAGATCATCTGGACCGCACACAAAGCCTGTCCTCTGCGGTTAAATCACCAGAGTGTTGATAACGCCCTCAGCTCACCCACAGTTCCCGCCACGTGCCTTGGACAACTAATGCTCTTTCTCTTGACTCAGAAAGAATCAGAGCAACAGAGCTAAGGGCAGGTCCGGGAGCCAGGGTTACACCCCAGGACGTCACGACACACATCGAGAAGTGCAACGCCGCTGAGGGGACAGAAACTTGGATATGTTTCACTCGAGGGGAGAGCTGGAAGGGAGGAGGAAATGCAGGTAGTCTCAGAATTTCCTCATGGAGATCCAGCAGAAGAAAAAAAAAAAAAAAAACAAACCCCAACACCACAAAACCCCCTAGAAATGTAAAATTATACACAACCTTGCCCGTGAGTAAAGTCACGGTGCAACCAACAGAAACACAAAAGGGCAGCAGGCTAGAGCAGAGGTGAGCAGAAGCCAACAGTGCTGTCGTACCCGTTTGGAGAGAGCTCTCCAAACCACGCAAGGAGAGCAGGCAGCAGCGTTCCACTTTGCGTGGAAATACATGGATGCACCGAGAGTTACACTTTTTGACTCCCTTACCAGGGCTATTATTATTTCCAGGCGCACACAATCTCGTCAGGAAGTTTGGTATTATAACATTAAAATATAAAACATACAACTAAAATATTCATTAAGTAACTAAGGCAAATAAATGGTGACAGAAGTTAGAAAGAGGTATTATTCATGAGAAGTAGCCCCTGCAATAAACTGGAATTCATTTGATACACAGCAATTTCAAGACAACGAAACCTTGAAGGCTCTACCAACGCAGCAGCCCATCGTCTTTAATATCACAGCTCCGGATACAGCGCTGGGTACTTTTACATCACGATACATAGAGTTGTTAGCGCATTAATAATCATCTTTCATCAAGCACAAGACTCGCAGTTAGGCAATACAGCTGCAATAGCACAATTACACCACTCTCAGCATATACCCTGAAGCAAAGAAAACAAACGGGCTGCTTTTCATTAAGGGAGTTTGGCAAACATCTCTAAAGACAATGTTTTCTTTCCAGAAACAATCCCGAGAGGCATTTAAGAGTCTCCTTCCTGAAGTAAACCTGGTACATGAATATATTCATACTACAAAATACAAATAGTAATTTTCCAGTACATAGCACCTCCTAATTTTGCAGTAAGACAATCCACGCCTGAGTCAAATATTAACAGTTGTTCCTTTAAATTCTTGTTTTAAAGTAAAAGGCTAATCCTACATATGTGTATGCTTAGCTTAATTCAGAAGGATCACTTGGGTGAGCAAAATCAAGCTGCTAGTATCAGAACTGGGATCATAAAAGACAAAAACGATTCGCAAGCACCAAATGCAAAATTTTCTTTCAGGAAAGATCCCTTTTATGATGTAAGGCAGGGAAAAATATTCTAAACCGGGTAACTCCTGATTAAACACAGGAATAGGCACACTGAAGTATTTCACGCACGTTTTAAGCAATTATATGTTCTGATTGTCTATTTTGAATGCATAAAGCCAACAGCAGACCTGGCATCTTCACTGGCTAGATTTTTAGACCAGCAGTTTCTCCATCAGAAACCATTCTTACCCTAGATCACCTATAGCCATGTAATGTACTTCATAAAAAAATAATACCACGTCATCTCAACGTAGAATTAGCCTGCAGCTCCTCCTTAATATATAGTTACTCTGGCATGACCATATCATATGGCTGGTAGGGATCAGTTCCCTGCCCATAACCATCTATTGTTATTCCACACCCAGGTCTAGCAGAGGAGACACAGGACTCCAAAACGACAAGCAGAGGGGAGGTGACTTCCCCTAGAAAGGCACCTGAAGTAGCAGCAGACATCTATTCTCCTCGGCAACGGAATCTCACCTGCTGCAACCACCCCGTTTTGATTTAATCTCCTTAGCAATCGTTTAATGCAAACAAACAGAAACCACTACTTGGAGGGAAAAAGAGATCATGGCACAGAAAATAAACCCACGCTCTAAAGACCGAATGAAATAAAGAACCGATACTAAAAGGCAGTAACACAGTCCCAAGCAGCTGTTTTCTGAAAGCAGAGACTTCCAGGAAATTCTGTAGCGTAAAACTCCCTCCTGATGAGCATCATTTCTCAGCGTACAGATCGCTGCACAACCAGGGAATCCCATCTCTCCAGCACGGGAGGCCAGCAATAAAAATGGTGAAGATTCTCTTAACAAAGTTAGGCTGCACCCTAACCCACTACAACACTCACAGCCATTTCTACAGCTACTTTGTGCTTCAGCGGAGTGCTTGTTACACACGTGTGGACTCCATATAGATTCTATTTCTTCATCAACTTCATTTCAAATTTAGACTACACCGACATCTTTCACAGGAGGAAGTTCAAAAGCTAACAAGCTTCCCCAAACCTCTCTCATCTGCTGTCACAAGGGCACTTCACAACCCAGAACGGGTGCATTTTCTCTCCAAACGTTACCATACATTTTGAAACATCACGTCTTGTTCAAACACTCACATTTTTAGACAGAAAAGAGAATAAAGAATAAATACCCAGCAACAATATAAGCTACCTACACAAATTAGACTGCAATTGGGTTGTATCAAAGCAACGAGAGGAACTTCCCTGGAAGCCTTCTAACGTGGGAAGCCATGAGAACAGCCCACCAGCATGGTACCAGGCTCCTGAGCAGGACTCTGGCCGTGCTAAACCCAGGCTGTGAACTAGGCGTCGCTGCAAAGGGAGGGAATGGTGGGGAAATGAAAGGGACTTTCTTTGCTGGTTTGGAGTTTCACTGGTGAGTCCGCAGGCAGCTACTAGCAATGTCCAGATGACTACGCCCAGCTGTCTCCTGCCGAAATCTGGACATAAGCTCTGGCTAAAACCCATCTTCCATGACGTGGACTATGCAAGAAAGCAGCTTAGAGTTACGTTAACTTCAACGAGGACTTCTCCTGCAAGGCAGGATTCTTCAGAGGCTGGGTAAGGTGAAGCAGTTTATAGGCCTCCTTTTATTTTTGTCCTCGGTCAGGAGAGATTGAGCTTGAAATTTGTTTGTTTGTTTGGTCTGCTGTGATGTTTCAAGCTGCAGGAGTAACAGTCTCCACAAGCTCTTTATGCACTTCAAAGTTCAGAAATCGCCCCCTCCCAACCCACCTTCTAGAAAACAGCTTTAAATATAGCATAGTCGTGTACAGACAAGTCTGGCAGTCCGGGCCGAATGAAACCTTGTACCTTCAGGTGCTTCTTTCCCAGGGGCCCTGGGGTAGCCACAAGCTATACAGCATGACGCAGCCCAGCTTCCACTTCTACGTGTCATATGCACAAGCACTTCACGGACGGAGGCTATGACTCCTAATTGTTTTCGGGCTGGGCTGTCTCTCCAAGCTGCTCCTTCCCCGCTGCCCTCCTGACGGTGACCCTTCCGTCAGACCTCCTTCAGCCAAATGTGGTTTTTCTCCCGTGCAAATAGGACCAGCCAGTCATGTAGTTTCTCCCTTGCACAAACTAACTGCAGGGCAAAGACATCTATGGGGAAAGAATTTCTGCACTGTTTTCCCATCCTTCTACTGAACCTCGAATTACAATGGGCAAAGCAACTTCACGTGCAAGGGCAGGCATGACCAGGAAAATACTCAGTGCTGAGTGATTATCGTTAGATACCTGGTGAATCTCTGAACTCCGACTGCAGCCAGGTATTGCACATATTCCATATCCAAAGATTACAAAGGATCAGCAAATACCACTTCTCCAGCAAAAGAGTATTTCCCACAGCGGTTAAGGGTTAAAAAGTCTGAGTACAGGTGTGGGACCCCTGAGCATCCACGTACTTCTTTTCAGTCCAACAGGGTGTTCTTAAAGAGTGTCAGTTTTTAAAAATGGATGCAAAGGCAAAATAGTATTAACTCACTTGCGGGATTTTGGGGAGCAAAAATCCTAATTCTGGTGGTCTTTAAGACTAATCAAACACAATCCCAGTTAAACACATACTTAAGTAGAGCTCTGAATAATGTCTTCCTTTGAAATATTCCTTAGTCACTGCACTCTACACGCAGTTTTTGATCCTACTAGGCAGAAATGCATTAAACAGAAGACCTGCATTTAAGGATAAATGTAAAATGTAAAATAACCTGTAACAGGGATAAAATTGTCAGACAGTTTTGTATGAACGTGCACTTTCTACCTCCTTGCATGATCTCTTATTTGTTGCCATCGGGCAGACAAACATATCTATGTATTCCTTACCTTTAACATAGTGAATTCATAAGGCTGGTAACCTTTGAAACTCTCATGGATGGCCGCCATCGTGTGCGAAGTTTTCTCCCAAAAATGAAGAAGCGTTGTCTGTAAGGCAGGATATCATTTCGATGCAACGTTAGCTTTAACACCAGTCTGCTTCCAGTGCAAATTTCACATCTCCCCTCCAATACTAGTTACATATTCTTACAGCTGAATATTGCCATGGTAACCTCTTAAAACCCCCATACATTAACAAGAAATCTTTCTTTTGGAGGTCAACGTTTTCTTTGGATACCTGATACGTTGTTAACACGTGAGAAAGGAGGTTGCATCTGCTCGCTCCCAGAAGATCCACTTTTTGACAGACGTCAGTCTTCAGTTTGTCAAAGTTGAGTTTTGCGTGTCGCACTTGAGCTTGAACCTTCAAACAAAGGGACAAATGTTCATGTGGTGAGTTTTTTCCTCCATTTTTCATGAGAGAGGAAACTAACAACTTTCAGGGAAAACAGACAACTGAACAGCCTCAATTAAAATTTATATAGAACTTTATTATAGCATCAATCCCACTGAAATTCAGATATGGCAGGCTGATATATGCTAAAACACGGCTCTTACTATCTTCTGTGTTACTATTCTTCTAGTATGTTCCGTGAAGAAATTTTGTTTTCTAACCCCTGTTTATAAGATGGATATTAGTACTAAATACATACTGAGAAGGCAACAACTGGAAAATACACTCGTTTTGGTATCTCTTTACAGTAATACTAATTCAAAGCCTGAACAACAAACTTGGAACTAAAAGTTTTCTACGTAATATACATAACAGCAGACAAATTACCCTCTTGTTGGCAATATAGCACTTCAGTAACTTTCAACTGCTACAAAGATTTCGCTCATTGAAGTTTTCCTTCCAAACTGAGGCGTTTTTCCTGTTTATTGCTATGAGAAAAATATGTAGGCCCCTTTCTTAGGAGTAAACAATTTCAGTTTCAAAGGTTTTTGTTTTTTTTTTTTTTTCAAATTACTCTTCTACAACCTGTTAAGTACATACAAGATGCCTTCTGCTACACAAGCCCCACAACAACAGGGGTATTCTCATGATCAGGTATCAGGGCAGAGAGTTGATGTAGGTGCTTCATACCCCAGATACCCCATTTTTGTGACAGCTTTGTACACTACCACAATACTCTATCAACAAAACAAATTTGTTTGTAACAAAATTTGTACGCAAAATTTAGTTTTCTTCCAAGGAAACGGGAAACAACGAAACCACAAAACATGATGATTTTCTTTCAGAGTTACAATAAAATATTTACCCCAAACCAACCTTCACAGTGGAAAGAACCCACTGAATGGGTTAATTAAATACATTTCCTTTCCTTTACCGGTCTAACTCGGAGAGTGAACTGATTTTGTTCGGAATACGCAGACTCAGTCAAACAAGACCTGACACACTTGTATGCTCCTGATCTCCAGCAGCGACTCCAGAACCCTGCAGCACGTCCCTGCCCTCCTGTGCAGAAAGGGCAAACACACACCTCGTAACGCAATCCAAGACGTTAGGGTTACCGTATTTCTAACCTTATTTTCCCAAATGCACTTAAGGAGTCCACGGGACTTCCAACTAGGTAGAAAACCAGCAAAAGAGCTGCATCACAAACTCATCAGAGGACCTACTCACACAAACTGTGGCACTTTTGGGTTGCTGGATACGTGGCAACTTTTTTTTCACTGATCAGACCGGCTCTGCGTCAGTAATAGGACAGGGCTGCACATATCACAGGCCTGATACGTTCAGAATGAAGAAACTACCGTAATTCAAATTTTCTGATAAACGCAGCATCTCACAGGTGAGATCTGAATTGTAGAAAAAGGTGATGCCTAGAAAAAAGTCACTTTTTTTTAAATGAACAAACAGCAGTGGTACTCTACCTTTATAAAAGAGCTTTGTGGCTAGTGCATTCCTCTAGAAGGGGAAGTCTTCCAGGGTAACTCCACATATTACACCCAAGCAACTGGTGAACAAATCTTGAGTTCTGGTAATCTCCAACTTGTGACCTGATCCAGTGGCTCTAACCACCAGACTACAACATCTTACTGGTGACTTGCTTTGTTGGTTTTGCATATTGAAGAGTTCCAAACCAAAGAGGGGCGTGCAGAGCTGGAAGAGTTCTTGGGTAGTTAGGAGATGTTTTGCTGAGGGAGACAGATTTGAACTCTCTCAGTTGCTCCCTCCCACGGCTTCTGCTCCTTAGGCCAGCACGACAAATGCTAAGCAAGGAGCAGCTGCTTGATCTCCCTCCAAAGCATGGCATTTTGTGGAAAGCCTTACCAGTCGGAACTACCCCGGCATGAGCTGAGGCTGCCTCTTACTTTGGGATCCTCGAGGGACTCTACGCTACTTCTTTCAGCTTGCGCCTGGTGGCAGCCCCAGTGAGGCACCATGCTGTCCGTGCCGGGAGTCCCAGCCCACCCACAACTGGCTAGTCAAACCATCAGGTGGGTAACCAGCTTCTGGGCCTCAAAGTTAAGCAGCAACGGAGGAGGACGGGAGCAGTAGCAGGAGGAATATGGAAGCTTTATCCAGTGCTGGATAACACATCTTTGTCCTGCAGTAGGTCCTCAAATCCTCTGTTTGCTTTAGCTGTGAGTGACTGACAGCACGGATTTACAATTTCAGTCGAAAAAGGAGAATTGTGCAGAAATTCATGGGCCTGTGCAAAAAGGAACTTTCTAACTGAAATCCAAACACGGGATTATCTACATCTTTTGCCAGCAAGAACTGCTACAACAGGAAGGCATTTGAGTAATAGAGATGTTGTAGGGCTTTGAAAAACCTAGTGAGATTGGAGCCTAAATTCTGATCGCAGTTACAGCCACGAAAATCCAGAGAGATTCAACTGATGCCAGTGGAACTGTGTCACACACAAAACTGTATTTTACAATGGTGCGGGGGAGTTGGACTAGATGATCTCTAGAGGCCCCTTCCAACTCCTACCACCCTGTGACTCTGTGAGATCACAATCCCTTTCCTATTCAGTATATCCTGGCACTGGTGAAAACACAGTGAGAACAGCTGAGGCTTTGTAGACTAAGAGTCCAAGTGAGCAAAGAATGTTAGTTCTGGGCAATATAAATCACTCTGTCAGAGATGGTGGGCCACAAGGAAAAAAAAGCAAAACAAGGACTACTAAATGTGATTAATAATCTGTATAACTGCAAGTCTGCAAAAGGACTTTACACCACAGATTGGGATTTGGGTCTACCTCACGTCTCCAACTCCTTAAAGGAAGAGGGAAGAAAACAAAAAACCTGTAAAGTTTGAGTCCTAGTCTTCCTGCATACCGCCTTCAGGGACATTTAGCTAGAAACAATGTCAGCCTTTATCTTAACTGAACACGTAATTAGTGTCTCTTCTAAAAGCTAGAGCATGCCCAAAGAGGAAGAGGTGACCCACCACACAACGTGGAACACGAACCCCTGCGTCTGGTATGCTCACACAGAGGATTCAGAATACTTAATGCTGTGTGACCAACTGCCACACATTTCTCTTGCCAACCAGGGAAGATGCGGTGCTCTGAGAACCACTAAATTGAGGATGCTTTTAGGTTTTTGGATACACTATCGAGCAGAAGTACTCTCCGTTTTGCAGCAGCACTGCAGGTGCCAAGAAAGAAAACTGCAGACTACATCAGCATGACCTTTTGCCTCTGGTGTGGGCCAATAAATGCATTTTCAACTCAAATTACTGTTAGACATCTTTTAAGATTACTGGTGGCTTCAGGAATTAGGTATAAAGCCTTAGTGCTTACAAAGCATAATCTACTTAATACCACACAAGTTATCAGAATGAACCTTTGGTTTTCTACTCAGGGGAAAGCTGATGTAATACATACTAATCTTCTCCTTTCTCTGCAATTACTCTCTACGACAGGGGAAACAGGACCTCATTGTGGTCTCAGTCCTGCAAATTTTTACATATAACTTCATTAAAGCTGAACATAGAAAATTTCTTCAAAATCCTGGTCTGAAAAGCGTCAGGATTTTACCGACCCTAAGAGAACTGCGCCGATCCAAAGGTAACCTGGACGTTTTACGACGAAAGAGCTGCTAAGCAGGTGCTAGCTGTGAGGTTTGTGCTGTATGAGAAAATCTGATGGAACTACTGACAGGAAAAAAAAAAGATTATTACTTTTCATCTTTTTCTTTTTCTAAGCAGCAACCTGGAGCAACCTGCTTTTAATTTCCCCATGCAAACATCTCAGTGCAGTATTCATGGCACAGAATTCTTTAAAGAGAGCCCATAAGAAAACATAAATTCGGAAAGCTGTGTCTTATCAAATCCATAGCTTGATAAACTATTAAGATGCCAGATAAAACGGAAATAATTTCAAAAGACTAAAATAAGTAAGTAAAGAAATAAAGAAATGTTAAAATCCCAAATCCCGAGGGCTTGAAAGTCAGATTCTGGAATGCTTCATTGTAAGGGCAAATACTTGCTAACACAGGTTCCTAAACTATGTATTCAAACAGAAAAGTCCCAATCTTCACGGGTGCTAATACAAAAAAAACCCAGTTCAGACCCAGCTAAAAAACCCTATTTGCCATGTTCAGTTACTAAAACACAGATTTGTCATGTATTTCCAAAGAATCTCTGTCCTCGACAGTACATCTGTGTTATTACTCACTTTTAGTCTACCATAAAATGCAACGTTTATTTTCAGTAGTAGCCCAATTTCAGGGACAATTAGGCTAGTGAAGCATCCTCTCCAAAATGAATTTGTCGGATAAATGCACTAACTCCCTTCACATACAGTGTATTTTTGTCTCAGCATTTCCAGCATGGAAGCAGAAACAGATGCTTCCAGTCTAATTTGTCACCCAACCTCTCACTTACTCGAGCTGAAAAGCATGCACAGCGTGTGTACAGGCTGGAAGGAGGGGGGTAAGGAAATCAAGAAGGAAAAAAATGCCTGGAATATAGCAAACCTTTCTGTTGGGGGCTCTGGGTAAACTCTACCAGCAGATGGAATCAGCACAAATCTCTGCATTAAGTAAGCATAGCACCTTCTGGCATACCTGATCCTTGTAAAGACTACATGAAAATGAAATGCAAACCCAAGCAGGCTGCAGTCTGGGGACAAAGTCTTCAGCGTAGAGCATATCTGACGGCATTTCTGCATCCAGCACAGAAAGCACAAGGAACTAGATTCCCAGCTCCCACCAAGCAGTAATAACTCCGTAGCTAGAGCGGTGTCATGACAAGGAGCACCCATCACCCTTCTACATGAGCAGACATAAGCACTTATTGATTACTTTTTTTTTTCTTTTTTAAATTCAAGATTGATGCCGCTCGGTCAGAGAACAGAAAAGGTAATGTTTTATACGAAACAAAGCCCGTAACTAAACTTTTCCATGTGC